ACCACAGCTCAAAGGCGTCAATATGGAGTCTACTTACAGTAAAAGCAGCAAGCTTGCTGAATGGTAGACATGGATGGGCCTAACTGGGAAGGTGTCCAAGCTCACAGAATAATAATAATAGCTACTTTGCCAGATAATGAGGAACAAGCATTTTGGAAATTTGGAGCAGGAACTGAAAGTTACAGAATCATAATTTGTTTAAAGACTATTAGGGAGTAAAAGGTAGGATTTCTAGTTGTGGGGATAGCAAAGATTTGTTAATAGCATCTACGTGGGATTGATTACACAATTGATGAAGGGGTAACAATAGCAAGCATATGTGGTCACCTATATTTTGCAAGATGGCTGCTGAAAAAAAAAGCCAGGTTTTCAGGTAGCCTGTTATAAAAATTGCTTTCTCAGTCCTTTCTGCTTCTGGTGCAACCTGGTGGATGCCCCTGTGGGCTTAGGCACAGTATCCTTTGTGAGGGTGGGACACGGACTGCAAAGCACCTTGTTCCGTTGACGCAGTAAGGGCACCTGTAACAGCATTATTGCAATTGTAAAGATGTACTCATAATGCAATACTTCTGGATCCTCCAGAGAGTTGGCATCAGGGTTACTTGAGGAACTGCTGTTTATAGAAGACAAATTCAGAATTGAACTTGGATATTAGACTCATGCCAAGACATGAAATGGAGTCAAGTCTCCACTTGCGGAATGCTTTGTTTATAAATACCGATTGCCTCACTTTAGACTCGTACAGTTAGGATCACTTTCCCCCTACTCAGGTCTTGGCTCATTCTTGGAGGCCTACCTTAACTCCTGTCTTTCTCATTTAAAGTTTCTCTGAGCACCCCAGCCTACCTCTTAGAAATGATTATGTACTAGATTTCCTTTTTTTCTTTCCTATCCTGTTTTTCTCCTTCCCTAATCCTGTTTCTAGAATGCTCATCCTTCAAATCCTCCAAATAGTGCTGCCAGTGCCACAATGTTAGAGCAGCATCCCAGGTTCTTCCTCCTCAGGCAACTTTCAGTTCTTAGATAAATTGTAATTGCTGCTCTTATTTGTTTATATATCCAGTTCTTGTGCAAGTCACATTCTTACTTAGGTTTAGGCAACCATTTGTCTTTCCCCTTATATTTGGAGCATGTTTTGAATAGGGATCATATTTTATTCATTATTATATCAACTGGCTCCATCCAAAACAAGGTGTCTCTTATTGTTGGTCTTTAATGAGAGCAGAGGCATCATCCGTTTTGTTTATTGCAATTTCCTTAGCTATCAGAGCCTGTGGGTATTCTATAAATAATTACCAAACTAATTGAATAGGCTGTCTCAGCTCGGTTTTATTAAAGTGCTAGATTTTTGTTTGATTTACATAATTAAAGAAAAATTCACCATGAGTAACATGAGTCAGGGACTTAGATAGTAATTGTAAAAAGTTTTATTTGAAGGAGGAGTTCCTCTGTGGTGCAGACAGTTAATGTGTTTGGCTGCTGAGCACAAGGTTTGGCAGTTCAAGTCTACCCAGATGTACCTTAGAAGAAGAGCAGAATGATCTGCTTCTCAGAAGTCAGCTACTGAAGGCCCAGTGGAGTGGAGTTTTGCTGTGGAAGTGTCTCAGGAACCCAAAGTAGAGTCATATTAATGACTGCATTAGAAGGCCCTTTGAATTGAAAAAAAATGAGGAAACGTTTAAGTTCCTATAAATAACTGGTGTCTTGTGATATTTTTTTCTTCTGTCAAAGTTTTTAAAAAAGTTTACCTGTGAAACAGACTAATTTTAGCCCTGTTTTCTGTTGATTAGGTGGATTTTATTTTGTTAGGTGGCGATCTTTTTCATGAAAATAAGCCATCCAGAAAAACGCTGCATACATGCCTGGAGCTGCTCCGGAAGTACTGCATGGGTGATCGCCCCGTCCAGTTTGAAATCATCAGCGATCAGTCAGTCAACTTTGGTTTTAGTAAGTAAGTATGTTTGTGTGCTTCAGTGAATGCTCCCCTCCCAACATTCTACAGTCATTTGCTTTTATTCCTCAGTGATGCCATAAACATCTCCAGTTTTTATTGACAGTTTTGTTATGTTCATATTCTTTCCTAATTTAAAAAAAAAGTGACTTGAATGAAAATTTACAAAGCAGGTGTGTTTTCATTCAAACATTCAGACATTTGTTTATTTTGAAAGGGTGACCATAATAATTGATATATGTTTTGAGGCTATGCAACTCTCCTGTTTCTCTTTCAAGTTTTCACTCACAAGGAGTGACCAGTCCTTGGAGAGGGACGTCATTCTTGGGAGGGTGGAGGGACCGCACAAGAGAGGAAGATCCTCAATGAGATAGATTGATTCAGTGACTGGGGTAATGGGGGTAGTTGTGTCAGACATTGAGGTTGACACAGTATAGAGCAGGGTTATGGCTGTTGTACACAGGATGACTGTGAGCTGCTGATGGCCCAATGGCACTTAACAACAGCAACAATTTCAGCATTTATAAGGGTTCTTACCTGTAGTACTTGTTACTGTGGTGTTCTAATGGTGATTTTTTTTTCTATTTTTCACATGTTTCTGCACTTAATAATTATACTTCTGTGAGAAAAATCTGTCCTTTTCCCATTTATTTGTTTATTTTGTTTACGTCAGTAGGAACTTACTTATTTCGATGGACATGCTTTTATATTTTAGGTTATAGTCCAGTGCTTGTTGCTGTTGTTAAGAGCTGTCAAGTTGACCTTGCCTAATAGCAACTCTGTGAATGGTACAGAAAACTCGCTGGTCCTGCTGTAGCCTAGCACAGTTCATTTTGTTCCTCAGAGTGCCCTCAGTTTAACCACTGAACTCCCTTCCACATTGGCTCCTGTGTCCTTTTTTTGGGGGGGTGGGGGGCATTGGGGAGAGAGGGTAGCCTTGCCCAAGAGAATTGCCATTTATTCCCAGAGCTGCCAAAATCATCACCGAGGGTTTGCCGAGGGTGCGTAAGGGGAACATGGAGGCTCCAACGCTGATTGAGGGAAGTCAAGAGTTTGGAGGGGGCAGGAAGAGGACCTCCAGCTGCCCCTCCCCCTTCTAATGCTTCAGGAAAGGTTCCTCCTCTGCCAGTACCCGCCCCACCGCCCAGATCCAGTCTCTTTGTGGGGAGGACAGTGGGGGGTGATGGGAAGAGGGTGTAGTGTGAGTGGACCCCGGAAGGGGAAGGGGCCCCCATTTTACATGCACTCAACACTTATCTCCATCCTGTGTCCTTTTGACACATCCTCACCATTATTATTTTTTTTCCTCTTTTTTTGTTGTTGTTGTTGTTACTGTACAGTACTTATTAGGAGTTTTGTATTTTCCTTTCTGTAGCTTGAGACACTGCCATTTCTTCAAGGAAGTTGTAAATCCTGTTGGAGAATGGTATTTAGAAGTAAGATCTACATGCCAGATGTAATGGTTGCTGTTATATTCTAACTGCTTCTAGGCTCTCAGCAGATAGAACTGAAAAATAGAAGAAAATGCACTGCTGTCAAATCAGAGCTGGCTCTCCAGCAGGTTTTTGGAGGCTGGCTGTCAGTTACACAAGAGGAGATTACCCACCATGGTGCCACAGAGATGCTGGTGGATTCAAACTGTCAGAGAGGCACCATTTTTAGGTTAGCAGTGTAACTCTACCCACGAAGTCACCAGAGATCTATGAAATACGTGCCTTTAACAAACGATTCACACCAGACTTTAGCAATGGGCTCAAGTGTGTCAGAGATGGTGAAGATGGCACCAGAGAGGGCAGGGTCAGATCCATTCTTTGTAGGGTTGCTATGAATTACAGTCAACTCAGCAGCACCTGAGAACAAGAACAACATAGTTGTCCATGAATACAGACATATTAATACTTATTTCATATCTATTTGGTTTTTTTAATCATGAGTTTTTGCAGTAGATTATTTTCTGGACTTTTTGCACATAAGAATGTGTCTTTGTTTTTATCATCCGTTTCGATTGATAGTTTAGATAAATACAGAATCAGGTGTAAGTGATTTTTATAATTTTTAACATATGTACTTGCTGCAAAAGATCAAGGACTGTAGTTTTCAATATGGATTGAAGCTCAACATCAAGAAGACAAAGATTCTCACCACTGGGCCAATAGGCAGCACTATAATAGATGGAGAAGAGATTGAGGTTGTTAGCAATTATAGCTTGTTCGGATCCACAATAAAGATTCTTAATACCAGCAGTCAGGAAATCAAAAGACGAATTGCATTGGGAAAATCTGCTGCCATGGACCTCTCCAGAATGCTGAAGAGCAACGATTTCAGTCTCGATACAAAGGTGCACCTAATCCAGGCCATGGTTTTCTCAGTTACTTGTTAGGCTTCAGAAAGTTGAACTAAGGATGACAGAAGAAGAATTGATGCCTTTGAGTTGTGTTGCTGGAGAAGAGTCTTGAACATACCTTGGACTGCCAAGAGAACAAATAGGTCTGTCTTGGAGAGGGTGAAACCTCTCTCTTTGGAGACTAGGATTTTGAAGCTCTGCCTCACTTGCCAACTTCTTCAAAACCTGTACTTGGACCAAGAGGCAGTTGTCAGAACAGAGCAAGGAGACACTACATGGTTCAAAATCAAGAAGGGGGTCCGTCAGGGATGTATTTTGTCTCCATACCATTTCAGTCTGTATGCAGAACAGATCCTCTGAGACGCTGGGCTGTACGATAAGGAATGTGGCATCAGGATTGGTGGAAGAATTGTCAACAACCTGCATTATGCAGATGACATAACCCTGCTTGCTGAAACTGAGAACCTGAAGTGCTTGCTGCAGAAGGTCAAGGACTGTAGCCTTCAATACAGATTGAAACTCAACATAACGGAAACAAAGATTATCACCCCTGGGCCAATTGGCAGCATCAGTATGGATGGTGAAGAGATGGAGATAGTTAACCATTTTATTATACTTGGCACCACAGTCAACACTCTTGGTAACAGCAGCCAGGAAATCAAGAGATGAATTGCATTGGGAAAGTCAACTGTGAGGGACCTCTCGAGTACTGAAGAGCAACGACGTCAGGCTGGAGACTAAGGTGTGCCTGATCCAGGCTATAGTCTTTGCAGTTTCATGCTATGCCTCGGAGAGTTGGGCAGTGATGAAATATGATACAAGAAGAATTGATGCCTTTGAGCTGTGGTGCTTGGAGAAGAGTGTTGAATATACCATGGACTGCCAGGAGAACAAACTGGTTTGTCCTAGAGAGGGTGAAGCTGGAATTCTCCTTGGAGTCAAGGATTCTGAAGCTTTGTCTGACATAATTTGGGCATGTTGCAAGGAGGGACTGGTCCTTGGAAAGGGACATCATTTTTGGGAGAGTGGAGGGACGGTGCAGGAGAGGAAGACCCTCGATGAGGTGGATTGATTCTGTGATTGGGGTAGTGTGGGAATGAGTGTGTCGGAGATGGTGAGGTTGGCACAGAATAGAGCAGCATTTAGGGCTCTTGCACATAGGGTCGCTATGAGTTGCAAGTGACTTGACGGCACTTAACAACCACCTCACTTACTTTGGTCACGGGGCCAGGAGAGATTGATCTTTGGAGAAAGACATCATGCTTGGAAGGGTGGATGGACAGCGCAGAAGAGGGAGACCCCGGATGAGATGGATTAAAACGGTAACTGGGACAATGGGGGTTGGTGTGTCAGAATTAGTGAGACTAGCTCAGGACAGGGAAGGGTTCAGAGCTCCTGTGCATAGGTTTGCTATGCATTGCAGGCAACTCAACCAATAACATTCCATGACAGGGTTGGAAGCAGGAGTGGCATCCACTTCCTAAACAACATGCCTCCAGAAACTCTATGAACTTTGATAAATGTTGATCACTGTAGAGGGGCTTTAGACCTTTTGTTCATAGAGTCACTATGAGTCGTGCTCGACTCGAAGGCAGTCAACAGCAACAACAACAACAATGTGCTTTTAAGATTTCTGATGAGTCTCTCTCTATTCCCACTACTCCTTGTTTCCCCAAGTTTAAAGCTTAGTATGTTTTAGCTGTCATTTTCTTTCTTTCATCTCAATTTCATCCCATTTACTAAACTACTCATTCCCCTCTGCTTGCATTTCATCCCTTTTGTCTAGATTACTTTTCCTTTTCCTGTGAAATATAGCTCATAGTTACTTCATTCATTGTCAGTGAATGACAAACTTTTTTTTCCCCTTCAAACAAAACACCTTCATTTTTTGCCTCTATTTTTGAATGGTAACTTAGCTGGCTATAGAATTCTAAGTTGTAATGGCTGGGTAGAGAGGTAATACCAAATCCAGTTTACAATTTATGGTCACCTTATTGTTGTATTTGAGGTTGGCTGTTTGTTTAGTTACTGAGGAGCATTGTAACAATGATTAAGAGTGGATTCAGAAATAGCACTGTCACTTACTATATGACTAAATAAATCACTTAACCCCTTTGCCTCAGTTTCCTTGTTTGTGAAGTGAGAATAATGACTTACAGAGTTTTAAGAATTGCTTGATTTAATGTTTAAAACTACCCTAAATTAGTGACTGGCATAAAGAAAACACTTAATAAGGCATTCTGATCATCTCTTTTATTTCACAGTTTTATTTAGTGAATTATACTTAATGGATTTGGTGATTCTATTTATCCTGCTTGAACTGCAGCTTGCATTTCAACCTGAGAATATTTTCAATTCTGGATAATTCTTATCCTTCTGTTTTCTAGAAGAGGCCCTGGTAATGCAAAGATTAAGCTCTTGCTTGCTACCCAGAAGGTTGAAAGTTTGTGCAGTGGCTCTTTGGGAGGAAGGTTTCTTCCCATAAAGACTGCAGCCTAGAAAATTGTTGGATGCATTTCTGCTCTGACATAGGTCGGGTGCCTGTGAATCAAATCAGCTTGATAGCACCTAGCAACATCAACATCTTTTCACATATTGGTTTCCCTCCTTTTTCATTTTCTTTTCGAAGGTCCTCTATTTCTCTTCTCTGTTATCCATAATTTATCTCTTTTGCTGCTTTTTTTTTTTGCTGAGTACAGTGTACTTTATTGATGGTATATGACAAGATGGGCTCTCCAAGCCCCTCCCCTTTCTCAGGGGATTTGATGGAAACTTGTGTCTAGGATGTGAGTGAGATTCTCAGTGTGTGGGAGGATCAAGTTGGACTCCCCAGCAGCTGAGGGTCTCTCTCTCTCTTTTCTAGTGCTATTGCTGGGGCTGATGCTCCAAGGGGATTTTATTCTTTGGAGGCCTTGTGAACCGTCAGGTCGACCACCCGGTTGCTGTGACCAAATTAATTGTCATACCAGGAAATGAGTTTGACAAAGTGGTCGTTCAGGGCATTGCCAGCCCCAGCATCAAAGGTGGAAGAGTGGTGTCACTATTAAAGTCACAGGAGACAACCTGTCTTCAGTGAATCCCAGGATGCCCTTGAGGGGCCCTTCTGAGGCTTGCTTTTCTACTTTCTTAATGTCATCATATTTGGCACCTTTCTCCAGACGTCAGGTCAGGTCCACAACTGACACATTGGAGGTGGGGACACGGAAAGCCATGCCAGTAAGTTTCCCATTCAGTTCAGGGATGACCTTGCCCACAGCCTTGGCAGCGCCAGTAGATGCAGGGATGATGTTCTGGGCAGCTCCACGGCCAAAATGCCACAGCTTTCCAGAGGGACCATCCAGTCTTCTAGGTGGTAGTGATGTCATGGACTATGGTCATGAGTCCCTCTACAATGCCGAAGTTGTCATGGATGACCTTGGCCAGGGGAGTCAAGCAGTTGGTGGTGCAGGAGGCATTGCTGACAATCTTGAGAGAGTTGTCATACTTTTCATGGTTCACACCCATAACAAACATGGGGACATCGGCAGAAGGAGCAGAGATGATTACCCATTTGGCACCACCCTTCAAGTGAGCCCCAGCCTTCTCCAAGGTTGTGAAGACACCAGTGGACTCCACAACATACTCAGCACCAGCATCACCCCACTTGATGCTGGCGGGATCTGCTCCTGGAAGATAGTGATAACTTTCCCATTGATGACCAGCTTCCCATTCTCAGCCTTGACAGTGCCGTTGAACTTGCCATGGGTGGAATCATATTGGAACATATAGACCATGTAGTTTTTATGCTGCATATTGAAAAGAAGCACAAGTAGATAGGAAATTTCTGAAAAAGGTGACTACTAAGGAGTGACAAGTTGAACAGATATTAAAGTATATGATAAAGATAAAATGATAAAACCAGTTATGACTTGTGAATTGATAGGCTTATAAGTAACAGAATAGAAATTCCAGAAATAGCTTCAAATACATGGGAAAATTTACTGCTTGATGACATGACATCTGGAGAAAAATATAGATTATTCAGTGAAAGCACTAGAAGAAACTGTCAGATATTTAAAAACATAATCTAGAGGTGGAATGGAGTTTCTAAGTATGACACAAAACTCCGAAGCTGTAAAAGAGAAGATTGGTAAGTCCTCACTGTAAAAGGAAATTTTGGCCTGGCAAAAACCAACTAAAGCAAAGACTAAAGTCGGAGTTTTATAGGGAAAAAAAAATCATAGACACAATATGATTAATATTTTAACTCTTCTAGTAAGTAAGCATTTCTTTCAAGTTAGTAATAAAGATCCACAATAGAAGAAATGGTTAAAACACTGGGACATTGCTCACAAAATGTCCACCACTACACACTAGAAAAGACCAGCTGGCCTCCTATGTCCACTGGATACAGCTCTTGAAGATTTCAATATATATATAAAGACATCTAACTGTAGGTTATACAAGGACTGCCTATATTTAATATGATATTCAAACAGTGCCCAAATCTTAAGCTATTTTACAAAACATGGAAGTTCAGCAGTCATATTGCTTGTATACATATAAGATCTTTTTTTTTGGAAAAAAGACATGATGAATCATTAATGTTATTTGCATCTGAAGAGAAGAGTTAGTTAGATCTGAGGGAAGCAAAAGTGAGTGAAAGACTTCTTAATCATGCATTTGTCCTTTTGTGTTTTGACTTATTCTGAAAATGCCTGTCTAAAATATACAGATAGGAGAGGAAAATACGATATTGCTTTGGACACCTCTTAATGATATTAACTGAGTCCTTTAATCCTCAAAATAATTATCTAAAGGTTCTGATTTACATGATTTGTCAGGTAATCTGGAACTCGGGCTCATTGTATAATCAAGCTGCACAGGTAGGTAGTAAGTGGTAGTCCTGGAATTTTTTTTTTTTTTTTTTAGTCCTGGAATTTTTAACGTGGGACTTTTGAATTGTAGAATATAAGCCCACTCCATCCGTCCTTACAAATAACAACACTGTCCTGGGATTTTAATATTTGGAAGACCCACTAACTTTCCATTAATCAGCTATCCTATTCTTAATTACAGTTTTCAAGTATGCATTGTTGGATATTTTCTTTGAAATGTACTTTGAGAATTTTTTCAAAATTTAAATTTATTTTGTATTTTTGGTGAAGATAAATACAACATAACATATTTATTCAGTAATTTCAACATGTTCAATTCAGTGATGTTGGTTATATTTCATCTTTTCCAAATTGTTTCACCATCTTCAACACAAACTCACCCATAAGATTTTCATGTAAACTTTCCAGTTTCTGTATTGTCAATTTGGTTTCCTGTAAGTAATATTTAAAAGACTATTTCATTTATTTAGACATTGTTATCCAAATAAACGAAATTATTTTTTCTTTAATTTAAAGATGACTTCCAAGAGTTTTTATTTGTTTAAACAAAGATTTGTTTACAGATTTCCCTGACCTCAATGACACCAGCATTCAATTGTATTCCATGGATTTAGGGCTTTGTTCTAAATTTAACCCCTCCTTTTGATCAGAATTTTTCTCTGTAATCTTTGAACAGATCATTCAGGCACTAATTTTTTTTTTTTAAATCTTCAAACTAATTAATGGTCTTGTGCTTGTTTTAGGGGGAAGATACTGAGGGAAAAGAACTTTTATTCCCTAGAACAAATAGAAATTTAAATTACCTTTTTTTTTTTTAAGGTTTCCGTGGGTGAACTTTCAAGATTACAATCTCAACATTTCAATTCCAGTGTTTAGTATTCATGGCAACCATGATGATCCCACAGGGGTAATTATGTTGAACTTCTGTTTTGTTGAAATTTCAAAATTGACTGGATTAGTGAAAAATTACTCTTCCCTTTTTTCCCAGCAAGTAACTTAGTGACATTAACTAGATACCATTCATGTAAGATTTTTATAATAGTTTCTGTTTAGTCTGCAATAAGATGTGGCATATGAGCCATGCTTTTGTTTCATAAAGAGTACTCATGGAATTACATGTGTTAGACTGTTAACTGAGTGGTCAGAGGTTCCAATCTAGCTGCTGCTCTGAGGAAAAAATATTAGTCTCCTCCTACAAAGATTCACAGCTGTGGAAACCTGAGGTTGGTCGCATGAATTTAATTGACTTACTTGGCGGTAGTTTTTGGTTTGGCTTCTTCGGCCCCCCCCCCCCAAAGAAAAAATATCCCCCTTAGTGTTGAGGGAGCTCTGGTGGCCTAGTGGCTAGAAGCTGCACTGCCATCCTTGAAGACGCTCAAGTTCACCAGCTTTGCTCTGCGGGAGAAGGATGGGCAGTCTCCTGTGTGATTAACTGCCTCTGAAAACCCTCCAGAAGGTCAGCCTTGGGTCTGTTCCAATTCTCCAGTACACAACAACAACAACAGGGCTGAGATTAACTGTAGTAACCAGGAGTAAAAATAAACACTCAGCATTGGGACTGTCCTTTACAGTTTAGCATCTGCTTTTGTATCTGACCTGTGGGAAATTAGGTTTCATGAACATTTTTAAATCTAGATAGAGCTATTTTGTCGTCTGTTTGATAAGTAAGTTATACTTGTGGTGTTTAGGTGCTGTGGAGTCAGTTTCAACTCAGTACCTCATGTGACAGAGTAGCAGTGCCCTGTAGGGCTTCCTAGACTGATCTTTAACTCTGGTGGCCTAGTGGGTAAGGGGTGCACCCGCCGCTCTGTGAGATAAAGATAGGAAAAATCCATGAAATTTACATTCTGAAAAATCTGCTGGTTCTGATGAGGTGGCAGTGAGAGAGAGAGAATCTTTTTGGAATCAGATTTTCAGGTCTGTGTTCTGCTGAGCCCCTGGGTGGGTTTAAATTACCAAGTGTTCAGCTATTAGCTAAGTATTTAACGTTTTTGCCACAAGGGCTCCTTGAAAGTAAAACTGAATACCCTAAAGACTCAAAATATCTTTAAGCCATGTATATCTGTTTATTGCTGTTCTAAATCACTGTTTAGCTAGTCTTTTTTTCCCCCAGATCTTAAAAGATATGCTTAATATTTCAAACTACTTCTTTTATGGCTTATTTTTATTTTCATGATGTACTGGGAGCCCCTGAGTGTTGCAAATGGTTCAACACATAGTTACTGGCTGAAAAGTAGACCGTTCAAACGCGCCTAAAAGTGCATTGGAAGAAAGACCTGGTGATCTCCTTCCAGAAGGTCATAACCTTGAAAAGTCAGTGGGATACAGTTCTCCCCTGCAGTAGACAGTTTGCCAGGAGTTAAATCAATTGGAGACAGTTTGTTTTTGTTGCTGTTTTGATTTTTTGGTATTTTGTTGTTGAACTATTAAGTTTGCATTTAGCATGTGATTCTGGTTGCCGCAGATGATTGTAATGGTGTTAATAAAAGGTAGGGAATCCTTTTACTGTTGTAACTTTATTTAGAGAGAACATTATTCTGATCTGTTTTTATGACTCGTACTTTGGGCATGTTGCAAGGACGGACCAGTCCTTGGAGAGGGACATGGTGTTTGGGAGAGTAGAGGGACAGTGCAGGAGAGGAAGACCCTCAATGAGATGGATTGATTTAGTGAGTAGTTGGTGTAGGGGTGTCAGAGACAGTGAGATTGGCTCAGGATAAAGCAAGTTTTAGGACTGCTCTACATAGGGTCGCTATGAGTCACAAATGACTCCACAGCACATAACAACAACAACATATAGATATATACTTTAAAAGATAATAGTATGACCTGCAGGTTAATAACTGTTGTTATTATGTGCTGTCGAGTCAGAATCTACTCATAGCTGACCTTCCTGTGGGTTTTCAGAGGCTGTAAATTTGAGCCATTTGCCTTTGTGTTGGTAGCTGAACTCCTTATCACTCAGCTACCAGAGCTCCCTTTTTTACTATTGTTATTGTGTCCTGTTGAGTTAGAACTGACCCATATAGCTCACCATCCAGCGAGTTTTCAGAGGTAGTTAATCACATAGAAAGAGATTGCCCCTAGTGATTTGAACCGCATGCCTTCAGGATTATAGCGCAGCTTTTTACCACTAGGCCACCAGAGCACCCTTATTTACTGTTAGGGACTATTAATATTCTTTGAATTTTATTTTTGCACAGGCAGATGCACTCTGTGCCCTGGATATTTTAAGTTGTGCAGGACTGGTAAATCACTTTGGGCGCTCCATGTCTGTGGAGAAGATAGACATTAGTCCAGTTTTGCTTCAGAAAGGAAGTACAAAAATTGCTTTATATGGCTTAGGTAAGTTGGCCTTATTTTGTTATTTATATGTACATTACCATTTGTGAAATTGGTAAAGTGGTGTGGGAAATGGACTAGATGGCGGAGGTGCCATGCAGAGCCTATCAGGGTAGATGAGTCAAGATGTTCAAAGTCCAGAGCATTAAAAGGTTGCCTTAATTAGATGCTGAAATATTGAAAACATTAATAAAATTTGAAGATAGGCAGACAAAAAATTTGAAAGGAGTTTAGCTGGATGACATAAATTTCCATAGATAAAGATGTTTTGTAGCCAGGAAAGAAAAGTAGTAGTGAGTAAAGAGCAAGACAAGGAGAACAGCATCCTTTTTTGGCCCTAAGGCCTGGGGGTAAAATCCTGGGGGTCGGGGGAAGTCCCGCTAGATTTCATGGACGTCCAGAATGTGGCAGTAGCCTGAGCACAGAGTGGCAACATGACAGAATTTGCTGACTATGAAGAGAAAGTTCTACACTCTGGTGAAGGGTTTGGGTATCGTGGGCTGTAAAGCTAGGATCCAGATCCAGTGGAGTGTTCAGGTTAAACAGACTAGGAAGAAAAGTCTGGTGATGTCCTGAAAATTAAAGCTTGTAGCGCACAGTATCTGGTTTTGACCCAGTCGTGGAGGTGGGGCTGGACTAGACAGTGCTTCTTGTTGTGTGTGTAAGTGCTGTGTGCCAGAGGCAACTCATCACTAACAAAAACAAAGAGAACAGGATACGATGACATATAGTATAAGCAGGTGGTAACTTAGGCTTAATGTGTCTCACCCTGAATCTAAAAGTCAGAGGAAGAACCATTTATTGGAGCAGTAGAAAATTAACATTATAATAGTGTAAAATGAGCTGTTCTTTAAACAACTGTGAAATGGAATTCTAGACATCACATTGTTATCATTGGAACAAAAGTGGACCAAATCTCATCATTCCTTATTGACAACTATAACATGTGATAGAAGGTTTTAGTCAGATGAATTAAGAGATAAGTGCTAAGCTGCTGTTAAACAATAATCTAGGTAAGAAAACAATTTTTAAATAATACCATATTTATTTCAGGCTCCATTCCAGATGAAAGGCTCTATCGAATGTTTGTCAATAAAAATGTTACAATGTTGAGACCAAAGGAAGATGAGAACTCTTGGTTTAACTTATTTGTGCTTCATCAGAACAGGTAATAATATTTTCTGAATAATTTTGTGCCAAATATTGAAGTTCCCCAAACCGTCATGGGTTGTTCCTGCTTTTAGCTATTAGGAGCCACTGAAATCCTAGAACTGTGTACCACAGACACCTGCTTTTTTGGAGGTCATTTGCCAGGCCTTGTTTTCCTTCTTTTTTAAGTTAACTTTTTATTGTGATTTATGTGAATGTTTATAGAACATACTAGTTTCCATTCAAACACCATATGTTTTGTGGCATCGGTTGCAGTCCTCACCTTTAACAGCACTCTCACTACTGCCTTCCAGTGTTTCTCCTTTCCATTCATCTTTCTTGGCTATCCTCCATGCCTTCTGTTTTTTGGTGTTTTTAAAATGGATTTGCTTACAAAGTTTGTTGACAGTGTGTTTCACGCTATTCTTCATTCACATTGTGTTTCATACAATCATTCTCATGTATTGTGTTTTATAAAGTTAATCATCATTGGACCTTGCCCATCATTATCCTGTCTTTTCACCCAGATTCTTCCCATTTGCTTCCCTCTCTTCCTCCACCCTCTAAACCTTACAGCCCTGCGATTTCACCCTTATCTATTCTCACCCCTCTGTTCCCCCAGTCTCCTTCCTTGAGTTCCCATGCATGCTTTACTAGTTATCCTTCTATTTTTACAATGATGGTCTTACACGGTATTTGTCCTTATGCAACTACGTTAGTTCACCCTGCATAATGCTCTCCAGCCACTCCCAAGTTACGTAGTATTTTTTAAAATCATTGCTCCTGAGTGCTGCATAGTATTACATTGTGTGAATGTACCACAATTTCTTAATCCATTAAGTTGTAGTTGGACATTTGGGCTGTTTCTATGTTCTTGCGATGGTAAATAACGCTACTATGAACATTGCTGTACAAATCTCCGTTTGTGTCTCAGTTCTAATTTCCTTGGGGTATATTTCTAGTAGTGAAATAGCTGAGTCATAGGGAGTTTTATGTTCAACATTTTAAGGAAACGCCAAACTGTCTTCCAGAGTAGTTGCACCGTCCTTCTTGCCTTCTAAGCTTTGTCTCTGCCCTTTTGATCTTGACTGGCTTATTATTCTAGGGAGTATTTTTTTCCCCTTCTGTTATTGATCACCTGCCATTTGTTTGACTGAAAGTTGAGTCAGGGATAATTTCATCACCAAGCTTAAAAAATGACTAAGGACTGTGATCTTTTGTGACTATTCACTGTCAGGTCGGTACAGCTGATGTTTTTTTGATTTTGAGTTTTGTTTCCTATTTTCATTCCACTCTATCCCATCACCTCTGTGATACCACTCTCTGAGTGGTCAGCAGTGGTCTAAACAGCCACCCTCTCGTGCTTTTGGTCTTGGGGTCTTGGAGACTGAAGTTCACATGATTTGTTAGTCCTTTGAACTAAGAGTCTTTGATTTTCTTCATTCTTCTTGCTCCTGTGAGCACTGTCGTTGCACTTTTCCATTTCCTCTGGTTGAACTTGAATTTCTAACCTTTTGGTTAGCTGTCAAGCCCATTAACTCTTTGTAACATCCTCAGGAGAGAGAGTGTGTATGTTTGGGTTTATTATTGCTATTAACTGCCATCAGGTATATATAGTTAGACTGTAAAATGCTGCAATCCCCTGTGATCTCAGAGATTTCCTTCACTGCTTTGTCTTCAGTGTTAAGGAAGCATATGGAACATAGCCAAATACTTGGTGAGTCAGTGAATAAATACTAGCCCACAGTTAGTGAATGTTAGGTTTTTCTCCCTTATATCTTTCCCATCTTGTCTTTTGAGACATCTTTAAATAAAAATAACTAATCTAGGTATAAAACTAGAGGCTACAAGTAGTGGAATAGCTGGGTCATGTATAGAATTTCTATGGTCAGCTTTTGAGGAAGCGCCAAACTGCCTTCCAGAATGGTTGTACCATTTTACAGCCCCACCAACAATGTATAAGAGTTCCTTTCTCGCCACATCTTCTCCAACATTTATTACTTTCTGCCCTCTTAAACTTTGTCACTGTTACTGGAGTGAGATGGTACCTCATTGTTGTTTTGATTTGCATCTCTCTTATTGCCAATAATTTAGAGCATTTCTTCATGTGTCTGTTTGCCATTTGAATATCTTCCTTTGTGAAAATTCTTTTCATGTCTTTTGCCCGTTTTGTAATTGGGTTATCATTCTTTTTCTTGTGGAGGCCCAGTAGTATTCTGTAAACTTTTGTTATGAGACTCTTGTCTGAGGTGAGATGGTATTACAAAATGTTTGTTCCCAGTCTGTCGATTTTCTTTTCACCCTATTGGGAAAAAGTTTTGATGCACATGTGGATTTAATCTTTGAAGATCCCATGCATCAATTTTATCCTCTTCAGATTGTACATTTCTGGTTGTATTTGGCAGTCTCTTTATACCTTGGACTAGCACTTCTAAGCTTGATCCCAGTTTGTCTCTTATGAACATTATGGTTTTGAGCTTTACTCCCAGTAAATCACCAGTGGAATATACCCTGAGACAATGAGAACTGAGGCACAAACTGAGATTTGTACACCAATGTTCATAGCAGCATTATTCACCATCTCAAGAACATAGAAACAGCCCAAATGTCCAACCACAAGTGAATGCATTGAGAAATTATGGTACATTCACACATTGAAATACTATGCAGCATGCAGGAGCAATGTTCTGTAAATTATTAACCTAACTTGGGAGGGACTGGAGAGCATTATGCTGAGCGAACTGTCTCACAAAGATAAATATTGTATAAAACCATTACTGTAGAATGAGTATCAGGATCCAAGAGCCATGGGAGAGGTTGGAAGCAGGGGGAGGGGGACATTAATCATGGGGTTGTACAGTTTGATGGGGGGGAGGTGTGGGAAATTGAAAGAATTTGTTCTTGAAAACAAGCTGTTCAAATTTTGTAAATAAACTAGTGGAGAAAAAAAACACACCCCCGAAAAATCCCCCCAAAACCTAGAGGGTATAAATCATCTATTCACACAGTATTTTATTTACTGTCAAAACCTCTTATTTTTTATATAAAGTTGATATTTTTTGCTCCCATTGTTTTTATAATTGGTAGAAGAAACAGGTAATAACTTGAAAAATGATTGACCATTTTTAGAGATTTGTTTTTTATGTTACAAAGTATGGTCTGAACTTCCTTCCATTTTCTGTATAGTCGGACCAAATGTGTAGGTTTTCACTGTTGACAGAACGTGTGCTATCCTGACTTGCCCAAAGACATAGTCATTTCTTTGTAAAGCTTTTTTTCTAATCTGCCTCTCAATGAAGAATCTATTTCTTTCTTTGGAGAGGGGATATGTCTGTTGGTGTGCCTTTTAATACACTTGAGCACTTACGTTACTTTTTTAATGTTGACATAGGAGTAAACATGGAAGCACTAACTTCATTCCAGAACAGTTTTTGGATGACTTCATTGACCTTGTGATCTGGGGCCATGAACATGAGTGTAAAATAGCTCCAACCAAAAATGAACAACAGCTCTTCTATGTGTCCCAGCCTGGAAGTTCTGTGGTCACTTCTCTTTCCCCAGGAGAAACTGTGAAGAAGTGAGTAATTGTAATATATTTCTAATCAACCTAAAACAAAATGCTACCATATGAATAATTTCATAGTTTCAAGTTCATGATGGTATTACTATTTTTGAGAATTTGTTTGTGAGGCTTAGTTTTGAGGTTGATATATAAGGATTGATCATCCTATTTTATCAAATTTTAAGCTATTTTTACTGTTAATGGTTTCATTACTCATTAGGTAAATTCAAGAATTAGAGTTTTCTAGATAATGGTTACTGATTTTACAGTCACCTAACCCGTTTAATTGCAACTTTTAAAACATAATGCTTTTTTCTAACAAAAATGTATTTTAGAAAAAACTGTTTAGGGATGTTTTAACCTGTGTTCTTTAGAGAATTAAAACTTTAGACAAGTTTTTATATATATATTTGTATGTATATGTATGTATATGTTTATCAAAAACCTCTTTTCCATCAGTATTGACTCATTTCTGAGTCTCTAGTGAATTTTCAGACACTGTAAGCCGCACAGGAGGAGATACCTGATTCTCCCTTGTGGCAGCATGTGGATTTAAACCAGTAGAAGTGCCTCCTTTGGATTAACAGTACAGCTCTACAGACTGCTCCATGACAGATAAAGATTGTTGTTCTTATGTGCCATCGAGACAGAACTCACCCATAGCCAACCCTCCAGCGAGTATTCAGAGGCAGTGCATCATATGACAGGAGATGGCCCATCCTTCTCTCATGGAATAGCCGGTGGATTGAATCATGTGTCTCTGGGATTGCAGCACAGCTTCTCACCATGAGGCCACAAGAGCTCCTTGAGATATGGATAGAGGGATATTTATTTCAAGGAAATTTTCCAGAAGCTTGTGGATGCTTCTCCTAATTCATGTAACTGTAAGACCAAGTAAACCTCAGATCAGCAGGTTAGAAGGCAGAGTGCTGTCTGTGGAAACTGACCAATCCCAGAACAGCAGGTAAAGAAGTGACTGCCTGCTTTGGAGCCTAATGAATCTTAAGATGTGATGAATCTAAGACTGCTAGGTAATGTGACAGACTGCAGGGCTCAACTCTGAAGAACTAGAGGTGTCATTCAGGATGTTAGATACAGGTCAAGGCAAAAGCAAGGATGCTTTGCCAGAGACTCTGTATCTATGCATGTATCCATATCTTTCTGTCTGTATATTTTCAGTGCAGGTCACACTTCTGATGAGACAACCTGTACATCAGATCTGGACTATGGTGACATTAAGGGTGTTGTATCCCAGTCTTACCCCTTAGATAGGGCTGCTCATATCAGTCTGCATCACAGGGATAATTAATTACATCCTGACATTACTGCCATATAACATCATTACATGATGTGTACATGAGAGAATCCTGACCAAGTTGACATATAATCTTAACCATCACAGTGGAAGGTAAAGGGGGAGTTATGTGATAAAATAGATAACAGAGATTAAACTAAAAATTTAAATGCTTTTTTCCCCTTTGAGTCACCTCAAATTCTGATTGTAATGGTAATATTAGATTTTTTTAAAGACTATTGCAGTAAGATTTCAGTTAGTTTTATCTTCATTGGTTCACTGCTAATTTTTTTAATGTGTGTCTGCATACATGTATATCTGCACATAAAGTTTACCTCCAATTTATATATACTACTATCAAGTCCTGATAAAATTTTACTGTACTCATTGTTGTGTTTATCTCCCCTTATTATCTTTGTCTAGACAGGAAGTGTGAAGTTTAAGTGGATTTTATTCTGGGAAAGAAAAGTGCATACCTTTTTCTCTCTGTAATGTAACCTTAACAGTAGATTTATTTTTAAGAGTATGCTTTTATAAAGTATTTTATAGAAACTTGAGTTACAAATATGTATGATGCACCCATTTTCCTGAGCAAGGTTACAGTACAAGAGAGCTTTCTTTTCCTTGTCATCTCAGACATGTTGGCTTGCTGCGTGTTAAAGGGAGAAAGATGAATATGCAGAAAATTCCTCTCCACACGGTGCGGCAATTTTTCATGGAAGATGTTGTTCTGGCTAATCATCCAGACCTTTTTAATCCAGACAATCCCAGAGTTATTCAAGCCATACAGAGCTTCTGTTTGGAGAAGGTAATTTGTGATCTCTGAATGTGATTTCTCTGAAAGCAGTGGTCTCATTGTAAGGTTGAACAGCTTAGTAAATAATGAAGGATCTTTTGTTTCTCTCTTTGCAGTGGAGGGAGCTCTGGTGGCCTTGTGCTGCCAACCCGAAAACAAGTAGTTCAGTCCATTGACTGCTCTGAGGGGGAAAAATGGACAGTCTCCTCCCTTTCACAGATTGACAACCTGTGAATACCTGTTGGAGGGTCAGCTATACATTGATTCCAGATCCACAGCAGTGAGGAGAGATTGCCGTGGATTCAGAACCAACTCTTAGCTGAACCTCCGTTGTGTTTCTGAGAGTGTACATTGCCCATCTTCCGCCTGTGGAGCCAGTGTTGCATTCGAACCACCAGAGCAGCAGTGACTGTTGAGTTAGAAGCATGCACACCTATGTTCCTAGACCACCAGAGCTCTTTTATTTTAAGATCCCTGGATGTTTTGGCCCATTTCCTCTGGATATATGACTTAAAGATACCAAACTTAATTGGTTTTAAGTTAGTAAAATGAAGGAAGCTATATTGGAAAAAGAATAAAAACTGAAGGAGTAATAAAGTATCAGTTCTTTTCTAAAAAAAATTACTTTTAGAGAATGAAAATGATTATATTAAGAATTTTGACCAGAAACTCATTAAGTAATGATACTAGTGGAATATTAAAGGAAAATATATTTTTACAGGCATTACAAATGAACCAAGAAACAACAAAGGTCTTGTTTAGGAAAATCCCGTTAAAAGCATACCTCAGAAGTATTGCAGGTTTAGTGCCAGGCCATGGCAATCAAGCATACATCACAATAAAGCAAGTCATGTGAATTTTCTTTTTTTCATTCTGTTCTCAAGAGGTGATCCAAGTGAATATGGAATCTATCAAACAATTTCATTAATATCACAGGCAAGCAAAATACTGTTGAAGATCATTCAAAAAAGGTTAGAACAGTACATAGATAGGGAACTGCCAGAAGATCAAGCAGGATTCAGAAGAGGCTGTGGCACCAGGGACATCATTGCTAATGTAGATGGATCCTGGCTGAAAATAAAGATGGGTCCTGGCTGATAGTAAAGAACACCAGAAGAATGTCTGTTTATGTTTTATTTACTATGCACAGGCATTTGACTGTGTGGGTCATAACGAGTTGTGTTTGACATTGAGAAAAATGGGACTCTCATGCAGAACCTATACCTGTAGCACTTGTTGCAGAAGATCAAGGAATGCAGCCTTCAGTATGGATTTCCTCTCATTGTCAGGAAGATTGTTATCACTGGACTGATAGGAAGCATCATGATGGATGGAGAGGAGATTGAAACTGTCAACAGCTTCATACTGTTTGGAGCCACAGTTGATGTCCTTGGTACCAGCAGCCAGGAAATAAGGAGACACATTGCACTGGGAAAATCTGTTAGGGGCCTTATTGAGGAGTAATGATGTCAGTTTGGGGACTAAAGTGCGTCTGATTCAGGTCATATTCTTTCTGATTAATAGCTATGCACCTGAGACATGGATATTGAATAAGGATGACAGAAAAAGAATTGACACCTTTGAGCTATGGTGTTGGAGAAGACGCCAAGAGAACAAACATATTTCTTGAAGAGAGTGCAGCCAGAGTGCTCTTTGGAGGCAAAAAATGATGAAGCTTGGCCTCACATACTTTGGGCATGTTGCTAGGAAGAACTACTCCTTTGGGAGGGATATGATGCTGGGAAGGGTGGAGGGTCAGCGAAAAAGAGGAAGACCCTTGACCCAGTGGATTGACTAGTGCAATGGACTCTTATATATCAGGAAGTATGAGGATGGCGTAGGATATAACAGGGTTCAGATCTTTTGTTCATAGTGTAACTATGAGTTGTACTCAACTCAAGGACACCTAACAACAATACTTTTAACTTTTTCCAGTAGTTATGTTTACTCTGCACTGTAGTCCATTAAATGTGCAGTTGCATTGTGGAAAAAATGTGGAATGTAAGAATTGACAGAATCTGATGCAGAGACCCTTGGTAAAGCTATGCTATGCGAAGAACAGTGTTGATGGACTTACTTGATTCAGGGTTGTCACAGACCTTCAATTTTTAAAAACATCTGCCAAGTAAAATAATATGTGGTGTGCTTAATGCTATTCATTAAGGGAATATGAGCTTCTGTTTGGATAATTCAAGCTGTTGAGTTTTGATGTTTGTTTTTTAATCTGTGTGTATTTTTGTTTTGAGATTGAAGAAATGCTTGAAAATGCTGAACGGGAACGTCTGGGAAACTCTCGACAGCCAGACAAGCCTCTTATCCGACTGCGAGTAAGTCCTGGTTATAAATTTGCGCTAATTTTCAAAGGATGTTGTAAGGTGTGATCGAGTTGAGTGTGACACATAGTAACTCTATGAACAGATCTTGACCTTGCACATCTACCCTCCTGCACCATCCTCCTGGTCTCCAACATGCTGAGCCTGTTGTTGTAGTCACTGTTCAGCATGTCTCATAGATCTTCCTACCTTTCACTGACCCGCTTCCGTTCCCAGTATTATGTCTTTTCTCCAACACTGCTCATCCTGCCAACATGCCCGATTCACGTGAGACCACGTTTCATCATCCTTGCCTCTAAGAAGCACTCTAGTTGTGCTTCCTTAAGACAGATCTGTTATTTTGGAAATCCATGGCATATTCAGTACTCTTCACCAGCACCACAGTTCAAAGGCATTGATTCATCTTCTTCAGCCTTTTTTATTCATTGTCTAACACTCAGTGCATAAAAAGAAATTGGAAATGCCGTGGTTTGGATCAGACACACCTAACAGTGTATAATTTACATTCTTTATGAAAAGGAAGGAAAGTACTTATAATAATAAGAAAGCACCAGTGGGAGACCAGAAATCGCAAAACTATAGAACTTGATCTAATCATGCCTTAATTCTGATGTTATTGTTATTATGTGCTGTCGAGTCACCTGCAACCCATAGTTACCCTATTTACAGCAGCTCTGAACCCTGCCCTGTCCTGAGCCAGTCTTACTAATTCCAACAACCCCCATTGCCCCAGTTACTGTATCAATCCATCTCATCCGGTGTCTCCTCTCCTGCTCTGTCCCTCCACCCTTCCAAGTATGATATCCTTCTCCAAGAACCTATCTTTCCTGGGCCTTGTGCCCAAGGTATGTGAAACGGAGCTTCAAAATCCTCACCTCCAAAGAGAAACTTGGTTTTACACTGTCCAAGACAGATCTCTTTGGGTTTTTTTGGCAGAACATGGTATATTCAAGACTTCCAGCACCACAACTCGAAGTCATCAATTCTTCTGTCATCCTTTGTAGTGTCTAGCTCTCTGAAGCATAACCTGTAATTGTGAAGACCATGGCCTGGATTAGGCACACCTTAGTCTCTAGACTTAACATCGTTGCTTTTTAACACTCTGGAAAGGTCCCTGACAGCAGATTTTCCCAATGCAATTTGGCTTTTGATTTCCTGACTGCTGGTGTTAAGAGTGTTGATTGTGGAGCTGAGTAAGCTGTAATTGTTAACAACCTCAATCACTTCTCCATCTATCATAATGCCACTTGGCCCAGTGGTGAGAATCTTTGTCTTCTTGATGTTGAGCTTCAATCCATATTGAAGACTATAATCCTTGACCTTCTGCAGCAAGTGCTTCAGGTCTTCTTCAGTTTTAGCAAGCAAGGTTGTATTATTTGCATATGTAGGTTGTTGATGAGTCTTCCTCCAGTCTTGATGCCACACTCTTCCTCATAAAGCCCTGCTTCCGAATGATTGGTTCTGCATATAGATTGAAAAGGTATAGAGACAGGATGCTGCCCTGACACACTCCTTTTCTGATTTTGAACCATGCAGTGTTTCCCTCCTCCGCTCTAAGGACTGCTTCCTGGTCTAAATAGAGGTTTCGCATGAGCACAATCAAGTGTTCTGGGATTCCCATTTTCCTCAAGATTAGCCACAATTTGTTGTGATCCACACAGTCAAATGCTTTTGCATATAATTCTGATGTTTTCATTATGTGCTGTCGAGTTGCTTGTGACTCATAGCGACCCTATGTACAGTAGCCCGTGTGTTGCCAGCAAGTTGGTGACTCATAGTTGACCCTCCTTTTGCTTTCTGAAGCTGTAAGTTACATGGAAGGAGATTGTCCTTTCGGAGTCAGCAGTGTGTGTGTTTCAACCACCATTGAGGCGAGGCCTTTGGTTTAGCTGTGCAGTTTCCTGCAAATTACACTGTCAGACAAGCTGAAATCTCTGGCTTCTTTAACTGCTCTTTTTTTTTTGTCCCTCCGTTCCAGCTGCCATGGCCTCTGTACAGTTCCTCTGCAATGGCAGACCCACCTCATCTCCTCTGGCTTTGCTTAGTGAAGCCCTTCCCTTAATAACTTGCTTATGCTCTAGCCCTCTGTATTTCACTTACCCTTCTGCTTTTTTCTTTTCAGCCTATAACAGTCATCCTTCTAATCTTCTATATGCAATTTATTTACATTAGTCATTACTTACCTTAAATTACAAAATTATACATTCCATGTAAGTGTTAAATTTTGGGAATATTGTTACCCAATGTATCCAAAGGTCCCAGAACACCTCCTGGTACATACTAAGTGTTTGGTAAATATGGTGAAAATATTAATGGGGATTGGAGTATTTTTAAGTCTTAAGAAGTTGAACTGTTTCTTAAGCCTGTCATCCACTGTCTTTTCTGGGGTGATTAAAAAAGCAATAATCATCTTTTTTACCCCGTGTCCTTTTCCCGTCTGTCTCCTGTTCTGTCTCTCTGCATCTCTGCCCTAGCCCTCATAAAATTCCCAGCTTGTCATTGAGTTGGAGCTGACTCATAGCTGACCCTACAGCATGGTTTTGGAGGCTGTAAATCGCACAGGAGATTACCCATCTGTGTCCTGAAGATCTTCTGGTGGATTTGAACTTCCAGAGAAACACTGCTTTTGAGTTCACCACACAACTTCCTACAGACTGTCCTACCAGAGCCTATATTGCTTATGCGGCTATTCTTTTTCTAAGACCACTTTAATTAAAGCTGTGACTCTTACCACATCAGGTGGCAGTGTGACCTTCAACTGCCAAATCAGTTTTTCTTTCCTGTTTTATGGAATAACTCTTTGACATTATCTGCGCTCTGTCCTTGTCCCTTCTCATCCCTTAGCTAGTGCTGTTTTCAGACTAGCCAATTGGCATTGACTTCTGCCTATGCAGTGATAAATATGTACCTCCTTCTTACCTCTCTTTGTGGATTTGTATACCTAGTGGTTCCTAGGACCCTTGGTGGTCCTCAAAGAACATGATCCTCAAACCAGCAGCATAGGCATCATCTGGGAAATTGTTAAAACTGTAGACTCTAAAGCTCCTTATCAGACACACTTGTGTTAACATTACAGCCTAACATTTCAGCTGGAATTTGAGAAGTACTGTCTTAGAGCATACACTGTGTAGAAAAGTATATTGTCTGGCAGTAGACTGCCTAACAGTAGTCCTGCCAACTATATGGGGAGCTCTGGTAGCTTCATGGCAAGTAGTTGCAATACCAACCTAAAGCGAGGCAGTTCGAATCCATCAGCTGCTCTGTGGAAGAAAGGTGGGAAGTCTCCTCATGTAAATCATTGCTTATGAAAACCTGCTGGGGGGTCAGCTCAGTTTGTTAGGAGACTCAATGGTACATAATAACAACTAGCTACATGAAGAGCTTGAATTGCTTGTCCAGTGGTCTGTGTTGACTTCTTGTTATTATGTACTGTTAAGTTGGAACTGACTCATAGCTGACTCTTTTGTGAGTTTTCATGGTTAATAAATTGTGTGGGAGATTGCTCAGCTTTCTTTTGAAGAGCAATTGGTGGATTTGAACTGCCTGCCTTGAAGTTGCCAGTGCAGCTCCTTACCACTAGGCCATAGAGCTGCCTGTGCTGACTTCTTAAACTTAGGACGTAAGCAGCACATCGTGCAGAGCAAGTAATCTGGCCTCTCCTTTCTGTCCTAGAGCCAGTGCTGTAGTTGAACCGTCTCTATTTCTTAGGTGACATATAGCTCTAACTCCTTCCTAGCTTCCCCTTTCAGTGTCTCTCTCCTCCCATTGCTACCAAACTGTCTTCCCATTACTACATCTTTTTAAAACACCCTATTTAATTATATCTTTTCTGTTGAAAATTATTTCATATTCCCATAGTACTTATAGGAACAAGTCTGAGTTTGTGGATGGCATTCAAGGATCTTTTTTTTTAATTTTCTACTAGTTTGTTTACAAAATTAGAATACATCGTTTTTAAGAACAAATTCTTTCAGTTTCCCTTACTCCCTACCTATCCCCCCTCGCCCTGCACATTCTCATCCCTCTGCTTTCAACCTCTCCCATCCCTCTTGGATCCTTATACTCATTCTACAATAATGGCTTTATACAATATTTATCCTTGTGGGGCTGAGTTATTTCACTCAGCATAATGCTTTCTAGTCCCTTCCAAGTTAGGTAATAAATTACAAAATCATTCATTGCTCCTGTGTGCTGCATAGTATTCCATTGTGTGAATGTACCATAATTTCTCATTCGGTTCATTTGGGCTGTTTCCATGTTCTTACCATGGTGAATAGTGCTGCTATGAACATTGGTGTACAAATCTGCATTTGTGCTTCAGTTCTCATATTCTTAGGGTATATTCCAAGCAGTGGACCATATGGAATTTCTGGGTTCAGTTTTTCAGGAAGCACCAAATTGCATTCCAGAATGGTGGTTCCATTTTACAATCCCAGCAACAATGGGTAAGAGTTCCTTTCTCGTCAGATCCTCTCCAACATTTATTACTTGCTGCCCTTTTAAACTTTGCCACTGTTACTGGAGTGAGATGGTACCTCTTTGTGGTTTTGATTTGAATTTCTCTTATTGCTAGTCATTTGGAGCATTTTTTGATGTGTTTGTCATTTGAATATCTTCCTCTGTGAAAATTCTTTCCACAAATAGAACTAGCTACTGTGGTCAACTGATATTTGACAAGGAAATTAAAGCTAGCAAGTGGGGAAATGATAACCTCTTCACCAGATGGTTCTGGCAAAACTGGACTTCCACCTGCAGAAAGCTGAAACAGGATCCACATATCACACCATATACAAAATCAACTCAAGGTGGATCAAAGACTTGGGAGTAAAGCCCAAAACCATAAAGTTCGTAAGAGACAAACTGGGATCAAGCTTCGAAGCACTAGTCCAAGGTATAAAGGGACTGCCAAATACAGCTAGAAGCACACAATCTAAAGAAGATAAAATTGATGAATGATGTTGTTGATTGCCTTTGAGTCGAGCACAACTCATAGCGACCCTATGAACAAAAGGTTTGAAGGTCCTCTACGACTAGCGACATTTATCAAAGTTCGTAGAGTTCCCAGAGGCATGTTATTTAGGAAGTGGACGCAACTCCTGCTTTCAAAAAATTAATGAATGGGACCTTAGAGATTAAGTCCACGTGTGCATCAAAAACTTTTTCCAACAAGGTGAAAAGAAAACCTACAGATAAAACAAACGTTTGGTAATACCATCTCAGACAAGAGTCTTTTTTTCCAGCCAAAAGGACTAGAAGTGATTGCTTTCAGACAAGAGTCTTTTAACAAAAGTTTACAGAATACTCCTGGGCCTCCACAAGAAAAAGACTGGTAACCCAATTACAAAATGGGCAAAAGACATCAAGGATCTTTTCTATCTGATCGCTTTGACTTCTTCCTTTTCTTGCCAGTCCACCCTAAGCTCCAGTTAGACTAAAAGTTGCTATTCTTGAGTGCAGTGGGGTTTTCTTCAGTCTTGGCATATTTGTGCTTGGTGCTCCTGCTCCTAAGAATGCACTTGCTTCCTTGCTTTGTCTCCTTCCATGACCATTCAGTCAAAGCCTCCAGAGAAACCTTACCCACCAGTCAGAATGGGTTGCTTCTGCCACTGAGTCCTCATTCTACATTGTACACACTTAGTGTAATAACACTGCTAATTTTGCTATTTGTCTTCTCTGTTTGTAAATTTTCTTGACACCTAAGATTGTGCTATGTTTATGGTTTTATTTCTACACTCTAGCTAAGTGCCTACCATATTGTTCTTGTTGTTGTTGTTGTTATGTGCCGTCGAGTCGTTTGCAACTCATAGTGACTCTATGCACAACAGCCCTAAACCCTGCTCTGTCCTGCGCCAACCGAACTGCCTCTGACACACCCATCCCTATTACCCCAGTCACTGAATCAATCCATCTCATAGAGGGTCTTCCCCTCCTGCACTGTCCCTCCACCCTCCCAAGCGTGATGTCCCTCTCCAAGGACCCGTCCCTCCTTGCAACGTGTCCACAGTATGTCAGACGAAGCCCCAGAATCCTTGCCTCCAAGGAGTAACTTGGTTTAATCCTCTCCAAGATGAATCTATTTGTTTTCCTGGCAGTCCATGGTATATTCAGTACTCTTCTCTAGCACCACAGCTCAAAGGCATCAACTCTCCTTCTTTCCTCTCTAGTCCTTGTCCAACTCTCTGATGCATAACAAGCGATTGCAAAGACCATGGCCTGTATCAGGCGCACCTTAGTCTCCAGAGAGACACCGTTGCTCTTGAGTACTTTAGAGAGGTCCCTAACAGCAGACTTTCCCATCGCGATACGCTTTTTGATTTTCTGACTGCTGGTGCCAAGAGTGTTGACTGTGGAGCCGAGCAAACTGAAGCTGTGAACAATCTCAGTCTCTTCGCCATCCGTCCTGACGCTGCCAATTGGTCCAGTGGTGAGAATCTTTGTCTTCTTGACATTGAGCCTCAGTCCATACCGAAGGCTGCAGTCCTTGACCCTTCGCATCAAGTGCATGAGGTCCTCCTCAGTTTCAGCAAGCAGGGTTGTGTCATCTGCGTAACGCAGATTGTTAATAGATCTTCCACCAATCCTTATGCCACAATTCTCCTCATAGAGCCCAGCCTCTCGGATAATCTGCTCTGCATACATGTTGAAAAGGTATGGAGACAGGATGCATCCCTGGCGTACACCCTTCCCAATTTTGAACCATGCAGTGTTACTCTGCTCTGTTCTGACTACTGCCTCTTGGTCCAAGTATAGGTTTCGCATTAGCACAATTAAATGTTCTGGGATTCCCATTCTTCTCAGAGTCAGCCACAGTTTGTTATGATCCACACAGTCAATGCCTTTGCATAATCAATGAAACATAGATAGACATTCTTCTGATAGTCTCTGCTTTCAGCCAAAATCCATTTAACATCAGCAACAATATCCCTAGTACCACGACCCCTTCTAAACCCAGCCTGGACTTCCGGCAGTTCTCTGCTGATGTGCTGTTCTAATCTTTTTTGTATAATCTTCAGTAGAATCTTGCTTGCATGTGAAATCAATGACACTGTTCTGTAGTTTCCACACTCAGTTGGGTCACCTTTCTTTGGAATGGGAACAAATATAGATCTCTTCCAGTCAGTTGGCCAAGTAATTGTTCTCCAGATTTCTTGGCACAAGTTGGTGAGCACATCCAGGGCAACATCTGTTATCTGAAATACTTAAATTGGTATACCATCTATTCCGGGGGCCTTATTTTTTGCTATTTTCTTCAAAGCAGTTTGAACTTCTTCCTTCATCACCATAGGCTCTTGCTCATATGTTATTTCATTAAATTCTTCTGTATCTGCCAGTTCCTTTCTGTATTACTATATAACTATATATACCATATTGTTAGGTGGAGGAAAAAGCAAACCATATTGTAGACACTTAAGTAAATACTTGTTTAAAGAATGAGTTTTTAACCTCCTTTAAAAAGCAAAACAGAACTCATTGTTGTCTGTTCATCTGGCTCATAGTAACCCTAATAGACATAATTAAACCACTTCTTAGGATTCCCAAGGCTGTGAAGTTTTACAAAAGCAGGTGCCTCATCTTCTCTCCTGTGCAGTGATTTGTGGATCATAGTCTTTTCAATTAGTAGCTGGATGCTTAATTATTGTACCACTTGTTGTTGCTAGGTGCCATCATGTTGAGTATGACTCATAACAACCCTTTGAAGAATAGATATGAGCCCTGTCCTATTCTGTACCATCTTCATAATTTGTGATATACTCAAGTTCATTAAAGTCACTGTGTCAACCCTTCTGGTGGGGGGGTCTTGCTCTCTTTCACTGATCATGATGTCTCTCTCGAAAGAATAGCCTTTCCTAATTACATACCCAAAGTATGTGAGATGAAGCTTTGTCATCTTTGCTACAAGAAGCACTCTGGCTGTATTTCTCTAAGACGTGCCTATTTGTGCACCACTGGTGCTCCTTTTTTAAACTGTTGAGAACAGAAAATTACAAAGCTGTGCCTGGTGTATAGTTATTAAGAATGCCTTCAGAAATTTTACAGAATGACTTTTTTTTTTTTGCCACAAAAGTTGTGGCAGTGATCTAGGTAACACATAGTTACTTCTGGGGAAACATAGCATCAGTTCTTATTACCAAGACATAATATTAATGTCCCATGTGTCTTACCAGTACTTGCCTGACATCATCAGAGCTAAACTAGACATAAATGGGAGAATGACATTCCTTTGCTAAACACAGTAAATTGCTAGTTTCCTCATGAAATGAAAAATAATAAATATTGCTGTGTAGGTAATTTTATGAAAGTACATTTCATAATTTCAATGAGAGCATCTTCATTAATTTGTTGAGTACTCTCTGTTTTGAAAACTCAAAAAAAGGGAGCTTTGGTCGCCTTGTGGGCAAGAAGTTTCACGCTTCTGGAGGAGAAAGACAGGCAGGTCTCCTCCCTGTGATTTACAGCCTTCACAACCACTGGGAAGTCCACTGGAGAGTCTGCTATGCATTATATCTGATGCTGGCACCGTGTTGTTTTTGCTGTTTTCAGTGTTTGGGAACACAGAGATAATGGAACTGACAAGATTTTGAACTTGTGATGCATATAGGAACTGGAGGTGTCAGAGTAAACATGGTACAAACCCATCAAGTAAATGAACACAATTTCAGATAGTGCTGAGTGGGCTAAAGTGTGTCCATGGAGTGATGGTAAGGAAGTAGTTTTGAGAAGCTGAGCAGGAAGACCTTAGAGATGATGTTCAGCCCTTTCTCCCCAGGAGCACAGCTTGGGAGCAGCAAGTCTAGGACAATGATTACGTGTCTCAGAAAAGATGGCAAGTTTTTCTGTAAATGTCTGTTTACCACTCTCAAGTGCTCTAGAAAAAGCGTATTGAGAGGGATTGTTAGTTCTGAATGGGCTGTGCTTTGAAGGTAATCAGTTCTCCAAACTTCCAAGTTGAATTCTATTTCTGTGTGGATTTTCCCAGAATCCATCCTTATCTAGAGTGAGGATGAAGCTCTTTGATATGAGACTAATTAATCAAAGGGCCAAGGGCTGATATTTTATTGGGGATTTTCTTTTTTCCTTTGGAAGTTTAGAATACCCTGTTGAATTTCTTCACTACTTTTTCTTCTGTTACACTTGGTACTGATCCCTGTTATCAAGGGGAGTTATAATTATCCCTACATTGTAGAAGTTTTTTTTTGGTATCCTTAACAAATGTTTTGCTGTTACTCATAAGTCTTGAAACTATTTCTCAACAAAAGAAATGTTACAGCCTCATCATAACTTTTAAAATGTATTATTAGAAATTAACAGATGCTTAAAAATACTGAATGGTACACACTATACATACTGAAGAGTGTGTGTGTTTCTTAAACATTGCAAAGTATATTGTTTCTTACACTTTCTGGTATGTTCTGTATTTCTAGGTGGACTACAGTGGAGGCTTTGAGCCTTTCAATGTACTTCGCTTTAGCCAGAAATTTATGGATCGAGTAGCTAATCCAAAAGATGTTATCCATTTTTTCAGGCATAGAGAGCAAAAGGAAAAAACAGGTAAGCAATTTTCATTTTCCAGCTAAAAAAATACTCTTAAATGTTCAAAGAAACCTATCTTTAGTAAAAGAGTACAAAAATGAATAATGTAAGGGATTTTAATAGTTTCTAATAATCGTAGACAAACAAGTAGTTGAAATAATTAAATCTCTCATCTTTGAAAAATAAACTAGCAGTTATTTTTAAATATGACAACATCAGTAGGGAACTCAAAGTCTTTGCTAATCATAGTGATGTTGAACATACAGATCTTGGAGATTTATTACTCAAAATAAGTTATCACTATTTGTTGTATATTTTAAATACTTAGAGAATTTTCAGTCGACTTCTGCATAATTAAATATTTGTATTTTTAAAGAATACAGTTGTTCAGGAATCTGCTGTAAGTAATGCCCCATATTTTTTTTTAACTGATATTAAAGTTTACAGAAAACTTGGATTTCCATTCATTCATTGTTGCATAGTTTCCTCCCTCACCCCCACCCCCCGCCCTTACTTTGCTATACACCTTGTATTCTGAATTATTGTCATGCAAATAATATATAATATAATTCTTTTTAGATAATTCTTTCCCTCATCTATTTCAATACAGTGTTCATTATTTATCCCCCTTTTAAGTTTTCCCCAACCCCCATGTCAGTCCTATTTTTTAACTATGACATTATGTAGTATTTGCCCTTTTGTGATTGAGATATTTCACTCAGCATAATGTCCTCCAGGTTCACCCATTTGGTATAGTATTTAATGAGGTCGTTGTTTTTCAGTGCTGCGTAGTATTCTATTGTGTGAATATACCACAGTTTCTCTATCCATTTATTTGTTAATGGGTACTTGGGTTGTTTCCATCTCTTTGCTATTGTGAATAACACAACAATGAACTAGGGTGTGCTTATATCTATTTGGGTAGCAGTTCTTATTTCTTTAGGGTATATTCCCAGTAGTGCAATTGCTGGGTCAAATGGTATTTCTATTTCCAACTTTTTGAGAAAGCACCATACTGCCTTCCATAGTTAGTGGTTGCACTATTTTACACTCCCACCAACAGTGAATAAGGGTTCCAGTTTCTCCACAACCTACTTCACTGGCACTTGTTTGCTGCCATGTTGAATTTTTCTATTAATATCTCATGGTTGTTTTGATTTTCAGCTCTCTTAGAACTAGGGATTTTGAACATTTCTTCATGTATTTGTTGGCCATCTGAAGGTCTTCTTTGGTGAAGTTTCTGTTCATATCCTGTGCCCTTTTTGCGATTGAGTTGTTTACTTTTATCTTGTTGAGATGCTTGAGTATTCTATACATTCTAGATATAAGTTCTTATGAGACATGTCATTACCAAATATTTTTTTTTCCCCAATGTGTGGCTTTCCTTTTTTACCCTGTTGGAAAAGTCGCATAGTGATTTGATTCTGTCCCATTGATCTATTTTATTCTCTCCTGGTTGTATTTTATTCTCTTCTGGTTGTCTCCTGGAGACTTTTCATGTTGTGGTTTAAGCCTTCTAGAGTTTTTCCAATCTTTCCTCTGATGAAGTTTATAGTCCTTGATTTTAGTCCTAGGTCCCTGATCCATTTTGAGTTGGTTTTTCTGTATGGTGTGAGGTGTGGATCTTGCTTGAGTTTTCTACAGATAGTTTTCCAGTTTTACCAACATCGTTTGTTAAAGGGGTTTTCATTTCCCCACTTAACTAATTTTGTGTCCTTGTCAGCTGATTTCTGTGTTTTCAATTCTGTTCCATTGATCTGTGTGTCTGTCACTGTATCAGTACCACCCTGTCTTAACCACCATGACTCTGTAGCAAGATTTAAGATCAAGGAGTGAGATACCGCCTACCTTGTTTCTCTTTTTCAAGAGTGTTTTGCTTATTTGGGGTCTCTTTTCATTCCAGATGAAATTGAAAATTCCCTTTTCCATCTTGTTGAAGAATGGAATTGATACTGTATTGAGATTGCATTGAACTTATAGATTGCCTTTGGTAGAATTTTCATTTTCACAATATTGAGTCTTCCTATCCAAGGACATGGTATACTCTTCCATTTCTCCAGGTCTCTTCTTGTTTCTTGTAGTAACGTTTTGTCATTTTCTCTGAATAGGTCTTTTGCATTTCTAGTTAGATTTACTCCCAGTCTTATAGTTAGCTAATTGTGATAGGTATTGTTTTTCTTAGCTCCATTTCTGTATTCTCGTTCTAGAGAAATCCAACTGATTTTTGTATGTTGATCTTGTATCTTGCCTCTTTGCTGAATTGATTGACTATGTCCAGTAGTTTTCTTGCTGAGTCTTTAGGGTTTTCTAAGTATACTATCATTTTATCTGCATATAGAGATAATCTTACCTCCTCTTTGCCGATTTAGATACCTCTTATTTCCTTCTCTTGTCTTACTGCTATCTTAGACTTCAAATACACTATTGAGTAGGAGAGGTGATAATGGGCATCCTTGCCTAATTCCTGTTTTCAAAGGGAATGCCTTTATCTCTCTCCATTGAGAACAATGTTGACTCTTGGTTTTGCGTATATACTTTTTACTATATTGAGGAAATTCCCTTCTATTCCTATTTTCTTGAGTGTTTTAATCTGGAAAGCCTATTTGATTTTGTCAGAAGCCTTTTCTGCATCAATTGATAGGATCATGTGGTTCTTGTTTTTGCTTTGTTAATTTGATGAATTACATTGATTGTTTTTGTTATGTTGAACCATCCTTGCATACTTGTTATGAATCCTACTTGGTCATGGTGAGGTGTGTGTTTTTTTGTTTTTTTTATGTAGTGTTGGATTCTTTTGGTTGGGATTTTATTCAGGATTTTTGCATCTATGTTCATGATCGATATTGGCCTTTGGTTTTCTATTTTGGTGGTGTTTTTACCCTGCTTTGGTGTCAAGGATATGTTTGCTTCATAGAATGCGTCTGGGAGAATTCCATCTTTTTGTGTTTTCCGAAATACATTATGTAGAATTGGTGACAGGTCTTGAATGTTTGATAAAATTCACATGTAAAACCATCTGGTCCAGGGCTTATTTTTGTTGGAAGTTGTTTTATTACCTTTTCATTTTCTTGTTTTGTAATGGGTCTGCTCAGGTATTCAATTTCAGTCTGTGTTAGTTTAGATAAGTTGTGAATTTCTAAGTTATTTGTCCATTTCTTCTAAGTTTTCATATTTGTTTAAGTATAGTTTTTAATAGCATTCCATTGTTAATTTTATTTTAGTTGGTTCTGTTGTGACATTGCCCCTTTCATCCCAATTTGGATTATTTGTATCTTTTCCTTCGTTAGTTTTGCTGGTGGTTTGTCTATTTTATTGACCTTTTTGAAGAACCAACTTCTGATTTCGTTGATGGTTTCAGTTGTTTTTGTTTCCTATTTCATTTAATTCAGCCCTAATTTTATAATTTCAGTTTTCTTAGAGGGTGCCAGGTGTTCTTTCTGTTCTGTTTGTTGGTAGAGGGTGTCAGGTGTTCTTTCTGTTCTATTTGTTGGTAATGTGCAAGCAAGGTTTTTTTCAGATTGCAGATGTGTTTCTCCTTTATCCTCTTGTTATTAATTTCTAATTTTGTAGCATTGTGGTCTGAGAAGATGCTTTATATTATTTGTATGTTTTTTGTATTTATTAATGCTTGCTTTGTGACCTAAAATGTGATCTGTTCTGGAAGACATTTCGTGCACATTGGAGAAGAAGATATACTGCACTTTTGTTTGGGAGCATTAGCCTCTTTATGTCTATGATATTGAATTGGTTTATTGTTTGATTTAATTCTTCAAGATCTTTGTTGAGTTTCTTTCTGGTAATTCTGTCTTTTCTTGAGAGTGATGTCTAGAAGTCTCCTAGTACGATAGTGGTGGTATCTATTTTTTCAGTTTTGTTAATGTTTGCTTTGTATATTTTGCAGCTCTATCATTTGGTGTATAGATATTTATTATTGTTATGGCCTCTTGTTCAATTGACCCTTTAAAGCATTTTGTAGTGACCTTCCTTTTCCTTTGTGATGGCTTTTGTATTGAAGTCTGTTTTATCAGATATTAATATCACTGCTCCTACTTTTTTCTGGTTGCTATTTGTTTGGTATATTTTTCTTCCCACCCTTTTATTTTTAGTCTTTCTTTATCTTCACTTTTCGGGTGATGTGTTTCTTGTAGACAGCATATTGATGGGGTTTGGTTTTTTATCCAACCCACTATTCTTTTTCTCTTCAGTTGTGCTTTAAAGCCACTCATATTCAGTATAATTATTGAGGTTTATTGCTATCATTTTGTTGAGTTCTTTTTGGTGTTGTTGCTAATTACGTTGGTCCATCATGCTTTCTGTGGCACATCTGGTAGAAGGACATCTCTCAGTGATTCCTGCAATGCTGGTCTTATTCTTACAAACTTCCTTAGGTTCTGCTTTTCTGAGAATATCTTGATTTCTCCTTCATATTTGATGGACAGTTTTGCTGGGTACAATATTGTTGGTTGACAGTTGTATTCTTTGAGTGTTTGATAGATGTCATTCCACTGTATTCTTGCTCTCATGGTTTCTGCTGAGAAATTGGTACTTAATCTTACTTGCTCTCCTTTATAGGTTGCTCTTTGTTTCTCCTTTGCTGAATTCTCTCCTTATCATTGGTTCTGGCATATTTGACTATGATATGCCTTGGTGTGTTTCTTTTGGGAACTGTTCTATATGGCATTATCTCAGCCTCTGGAATATATATTCTCTCATTCTTCATTATGCCTGGAATGTTTTCCTCTAGTAATTCTTCCACATCTTCCTCTGTGCCTTTACCTGTTTCTTCCTGTTCTGAGATTCCAGTTATGCACACGTTATTCCTTGTGATGGTATCCCACATTACTCTTAGGCTTTCTTCTTTTTTCTTCATTTTTGATTCTGCTTTTTGTTGTAGCAGAACAGGTGACAGTTCTGTCTTCTATTTAGCTGGTTCTGTGTTCCATCTCTTCAACTATGTTTATATGTCACTCTAACATGTTGACAGCATCTGAAACATTGAACTTCATATTCTAGATGTG